ACAGCAACTGAAATCATTGCATCTGACAGCATAGATGACAAGGCCTCAGCTCTGGATGTCTCAGGACCCATTAAGACCAGTTTCCTGGGGGGCCTGATTGATGTGAGAGGGTCAGCAGAATATCTTCACGACACCAAGAAGTCCAAGCAGCAGGCCAGAGTCACCGTTCAGTACAAAACCACCACCAAGTATGAACAGCTGACAATGAGCCACCTAGGAAGGCAGAATGTCTCTTACCCAGAGGTCTTTGAGCATGGCACAGCCACCCACGTGGTCACCGCCATCCTCTATGGAGCTCAGGCTTTCTTCGTCTTTGACCAAGAAGTTTCTTCAATGGAGACGGTGAAAGATATAGAACAAAGTCTCCACGCTACCCTCAGGAAGGAAATATCTATCGGAGGAGACATAAAGGTCAGACTGACTGAGGAGGAGAAAGAGAATGCTCTGAAGTTCAGATGCAAGTTCCATGGAGACTTTTCTTTGCAGAAAAATCCAGTGACCTTCCAAGATGCCATGAAAGTTTATGAAACTCTCCCAAAAATGTTAGGGAAAGATGGAAAGAAGGCTGTGCCTGTGCGGGTCTGGCTCTACCCTCTGACCAAGCTGGACACCAGAGCAGCCAAGGTGGTCCGTGAGATCAGCCTAGGATTGATCTTTGATGCTGAAAAGATCTTGGAGGAACTCAGCGAAATCCAGGTGCAAAGCAACGATCTAGCCAAGAATCCCATGGCTGAGACCTTCCCTGAGATCAAACAGAAGATCCAAGAGTTCAAGGATCTGTGCAAACAACACAAGCAGACTTTCCAGAAACAACTGGCTAGAATGTTGCCTTCCATCCGGGGAGGAGGGCTGGAAGAAGGGACTCTGGTGGACCTCTTGATGTCCGTCAACCAGTCGCCCTTCAACAGCCAAAGTCTCCATGAATTTCTGGACACCAAGAAAAGAGAAATGAACTTTGTCAAATCTTATCTGACTATTCTAAATAATATAGAAATTATCTCTTCCAAGAATGGGATGGAAGAAATAGTTCTTCACCCACAGAATGGATACGTGGTCTCCTTCGTATTCACTTCTTTACATGAAGAGCCATTTCTGTTGAGTTTACAAGATTGGCTTCAGGAACAATTCTTGCCAGAATCAGCTAAGTCCAGAAGATCCACTCCTGGGCTGAAGAAAGGCCTGTCCTGGTTTGAGGACAAGGAGTGGACCCGCAATGCTCGCCAAGCTGCCAAGTCCATGAAAGACTTTTTCAGTATCAACCAATCAAGTGAGAAAGTCCGCTTTGTTGTGGCTTCACTCCCAGATGTGGATAACCCAGGAGCCTCCACTTACCTTTATGAAGATGGGGTGCTGGTTAACAAAAACTTTGAGTTGCCCTCAAAACCTCTCACTTTCCTGATTTTCGAAGTGAGACATGATAGCATTCAACTGAAGTTTCAGCCAGCTGAATATGGGAGGGCTGCAATCTCCAGCTATCTGGTAGAGTACAATAAGGTAGGGGAAGAAAACTGGAAGACCGTGAGGACAGAGGATGCCAGGGAGATGTTGCTGCTGAAAGATCTGTCTCCAAACACAGACTTTCTATTCCGGTATGCTGCTTGTTGCAAGCTGGGCCTTAGTAAATTCAGTGACCTGAGCCCACCCATAAAGACCCTTCCCACCAGCCCTCCTGAGAAATTAAGGACAGTCACTGCAACATCTTCTGTCATCTCTGTCACCTGGGTGAGTCCCAGCATCGTGGCCTCCGGAGTTGTGGTCAAAGAGTACAAAGTGGAGTACAGAACAGTGGAGGCTGGAGCTAGGAAGGACCAGTGGACTGAAAAAAGAACATGGAGAAAAAGAGAGTTTTATCCCATTGAAGGCCTGAAGCCCCAGATGATGTACAGAATACGGGTGTTGGCCATGTGTGATAATGGAGCTCTGGGTGTCCCCAGCGAGGAGGTTCAGGTCTCCACATCACTGGAGGAAGAAAGTGTAGACAACATACCCTACCAGTTCCTTCAGAAAAGCTACCTGGTGGAGGACAGACAGCCATTAGTGTTCGCCCTTACCCTGGAGAAAGTCCCCTCAGATGCCTCCACCTCCTGTCTCGTGTACCAGCTTGGAAAGAAGAACCCAGAAGTGCCCAATAAAGTGATCCTGGTGATGGGAGCAACAGGATGTGGGAAAACCACTCTGATCAACGGGATGATCAATTATATCCTGGGTGTCCAGTGGGAAAATAATTTCAGATTCAAACTCATTCATGAAACCACCCAGAGAAGCGAAGCTGGAAGTAGGACGTCGGAAGTCACAGCGTACGTTGTGAACCATCAGAAGGGTTTCCGAATTCCCCATTCTCTCACCATCATTGACACTCCAGGATTTGGAGGCACAAGAGATGCAGAGCAAGACAAACTGGTGGAGGAGCAGCTCCTGGAGTTTTTCTCCATGCCAGGGGGCATTGACCACGTGGATGCCATCTGCTTGGTGGCCCAGGCCTCCCTTGCCCATTTAACTCGTGCCCAGAAACGCGTCTTTGATTCCATGCTCTCCATGTTGGGAAGAGACCTGAATGATAACATCCGGTGCCTGACCACCTTTGTGGATGCGGGGACCCCACCTGTCCTGGAGGTCCTCAAGGAGGCTGACCCGCCGTGTGATCTGGACGAGTCGGGAACCCCTGTGCACTTCAAATTCAACTATTCATCTTTTTTTGCTCACCAAGGTAGACATAATGCTGCTGCTGAAAGGTCCTGGAAAATGAGCACTGAGAGCATGAAGAATTTATTTGACTCATTAAATACGGTGGAGACGAAAAGTTTAGCCTTGGCCAAAGATGCCCTCGAGAGACGTCAGGAGCGGGAAGCTGCTCTTAGAAGACCTCCTTCATTTAAAGTTGAGCCAGTCCAACCAAAAGGTTTCCAGATCAGTATTGATCCACTGGCCTATGGGATGTCTCCAGTCTCCAGGTACCTGGTGGAATATCGGATTGCAGGAGAAGAGAATTGGAAAAGCCTTCTAACAGATGTTCCTAAGGATCAATTCACCTTAGAGGATGTGGACTTTAATCTTCCATACCAATTCCGATGTGCTGCTGTGACTCAACTAGTGCTTGGTCAATGGAGCGAGAAGATCACTTGCATCCATCCCTGGGTAAAGGTTTTACTTGTCATTTTCCATCTCTGGGGTGTGATGCTCATCTCTGTTTCTTAGCTGAGGGAGCCAGCAGTATCCAAAGATGCTTCTGTGGCCATGTGGTCAGCATGACTGTATGCTGAGGTACATGTTAACTTCCCACCTACATGGTACCTATTTATCTACTTGCCTAGATGGGCAGGAGCTGGAGCAAGGAACGGGAGCTCATCCCGTCTTATGGTGCTCAGGTCTCGAACCTGAGCACAGCATCTTTAATCACTGAGCCACTGTTCCCCCCCTTCCTCAGAGAGGTCTTCAAAGGTAACTTGAGGACAAAGGAGAAGGAGGAAGAGGACTGTGGGGTCCTCGGTGTTCTCTGAGCTTGGTGATTTTCTTGCAGACATTTTATTAACCAACTAGATAACATCCTGAGTGCTGGAAGAAAGTGGGGGTTGTAGAGAGGAGGAGGAGCAGGAAGAGGAGGACGAGGATGACAAAAAGTGCAGCATTTTTGTAAGAACTTCAGTCACAGGTTGCACAACTTCCCAGTTGTCTTGCTTGTAGAAAATATAGCACATTGAATGTTGCTGCAATAACTGGTTAATATTCTCTGCCTGTCCCTTCGGAGCTGGATGATGGGCAGATGACGTATGAGGTTCAATATTTAATAATTCCAAATTGCATTTGGAAGTAAATTGAATTCCCTGTTAGTTTTGTCATAATTAACTAATAACCTAGATCTAAAGACACGATCCAAAAAAGTTGAGCCATTTCTTGGGCCTTTGGAAGATGCTTGCAAGGAATGAAAAAGGCCAATTCGTAAGTAAATCCGGGAATCATGGTCCGGGATTAGAGGATTTGCCTGATTATTGCAACTACCACCCAGCTGGCTTTCCAGAGATTGGTTTTACTCTCCATCACAAATGGCAAGAGGATACATAAACCATCAATTCTCTGGGGATACTGGGCCACCAACATTCTTTGAGGGTTCTTTATTGGGTTGTAAATCCCCCCCACCCCCCGGTGTCTTAATTGGGACCCTGGTGTGTGAATCCTGTTTCTCCTACATCTTAATCCAATCAAAGGGTTTGACAAGTTGCCTTTTTTTGACTTTTCATGTTGATCTGCCTGACAGTTGAATGGTCTCACTGTTATTGCCAGTGGGCGGGGCGGGGGGTGATTGAAGAAGGTTGCAGCAGCTGAGACCCGAAAGTGAAAGTGAAAAAAAGATACCTGCCCCTCTTCTTTGCTAAAAAAAAAAAAGTATAAATATCACTCTGCTCTGAGTTCTGAAGGGCTGAGGTTCCCCAGCCCTTCTGTGCCAGGTCTGAAAACCCTGCAGCCTCATCTTAATCTGAAAATGAGGCTCTGTGGGGCCTGATCCAGCAGTGCTGGAATCACTTCTGCGGGTTCAACAACTGCCGAACCAGTAGAATACCATCACTGCTTCCAAGACTCTCTGCTCTTCATTCTCTTCTGAGTTTGTGTGTGGAACTTGGACGAAAGAAATATCAATTTATTCCACCCTTAAATCAGCCGGTGGGAAGGCCCAAACTTCAAGGTTCCTTCCACAAGTTTACCAGGAATTGAGGTGACTTTCTCAAAATGTGGAAAGGCCCTTGTATCCCACTCCCCACTCAGGGAGGGCCAAGGGGCACAGGAGGCTCCCAAGGGGCAAGATTTGGTGGGGGAGGCTGTAGGTGGAAACAAACATTCTCAGCAGAGGTTGTTTTTGCAGGATTGCGGGGGATGCAGGAAAGAGACCCCACCAAAGGAGCCTTGAACCCCACCAGGATTAGATTCAGACCACCTTGGAGGGGTAGCTGGGAGGACAAGGGGGAGTCTGGGGTGGCCAGGAAGTAACCTGGAGGAAGACGATTTGGGGCGACCCTTGGAGACCATCTGGAGCTGCAGCAGGAGCAGCTAAAGCCCCAGAGAATAGGGTCCCTTTGAATATGGAGCTGGGTGTGGGGAGCTGCCAGACACTCTGGACATCAACCCCCACTGTTCCTGAAATCCCCCAAGAATTGAAGGGCTGAATGAAAAGGGGGTGGGGTGGAGATCGCCTCTCCTTTGGCTGATTCTGTTTCTCTTTTCATGCAGAAATCCCAGGTTTTGTGCGGTGCAACTGGTCTGGAAATGACTGCAAGCATCCAAGGTAAAGTCTTGGCCCCACGGGGTGGGTGGAGTGGGCGGAAGTTACTGTCCTGGGTGGAGGGACAGGCTATGATGGCTTTACGCTGCTGACTGCATCTCCTATTCTCTTCTTGCCTTTGGGTCATAGGGCCTGAACGGAGGATCGTCATTGTGGGCCAAACCGGAAATGGGAAAAGTGAGACGGGAAACACAATCCTGGGAAGCAAAGTCTTTGAGACTGGATGGTCACTTCAGTCAATAACAGAAGCATGCCAGAAGGAAGAGGCACAGCTGAACGGCAGGAAGATTGTGGTTGTTGATACACCTGGCTTTTCCCATGCCAATCTTCCAAACGAGGATATTGCTACTCAAGTGAACAAGTGCGTGAAGCTTTGCTCCCCGGGTCCCCACGTCATTCTGCAGGTGATGCGCCCTCGTGGTTTCACCGAGAATGAGAAGGCCGTGGCTCAGCAGATCAAGGAGATTTTTGGCCTGAAAGCCAGGAATTACATGATCCTCTTGTTCACCCACAAAGATGAGCTGGAAAGGGAATCTCTTGAAAGATTTATATCTGTCCAAGATAAAAAACTGAAGGAATATATTGCTGTATGTGGGAACCGGTACCTGGCTTTCAACAACAAGGCCGAAGGGGTGGAACGAGAGGCTCAGGTGGCCGAACTGATGACCATGATGGACGAGCTGGTGCAAACGAACAGACATGCTCCTTGTTACACAGAAGACATGATGAACTTCAACAGACACAACTTCTGATTGCTTCCCTTTCCAACTGAGACCAAAATGTCTCTCTAATTGCGCCTCCGCTCCCAAGATGGCAAGTCTGCCAAAGGCCACAGCCCTTCCATTCTGGGTTCTAATCCAGCTCTTGCCATGTGACCTCTGAAGAACCCGAGTCATACATTCGTAGCTGCGTCCTACTCAGCCAATTCCTTCTCTCAGGAACCCTGTTTCTTCTCTCGAATGACAGGAAGGGCACTGGAAGATTCTGCCCCCCCCCCCCCAACAAAAAACCTTATGGGAGAGAAATTTAAAAAATAACATTAGCCACATCATTTAAGAAAAGTTATACAAAATGTTTTATAGGTGGCACCTCCTGCCAGCAAAATTAGCTAAGTTGCATCAAAATGTATCGCCTGTTTGTTGGAAATGCACCCAGGAGTAGGGATCATACTATATCATATATGGTAATCATGTGGAAAAGCCCAGGAATTTTGGCATAAGATTCAGAGATGGTTAGAAAAGATTGGTGAAACTTAAGGTTGACTACAAACCAGAATTTTTCCTGCTGGGAATCATTACAGAAAGATACAATAAGGAACTGACGTATCTAATAATGCATGTGATTACGGCAGCAAGGTTAACTTATGCTCAAAAATGGAAAGATAAAGAAATTCCCGATGAAAGCGAAGTAATTAAAAAGATATGGATATGTTCTGAAATGGACAAATTAACTTTGAGAAATTAAAAATAAGGCTGAGGCTGAATATTACAAAATATGGGATAAATTTTTATCAATGGTGGGGAAAAAGGAAGGACTCAGAATTAAGACAAGATAAGATTGTTAGGATAGCAGACTAGAAATATGGAAAATTGTTGAAATGTACAAATGTATATGCTACGTAAATATGTATTATATGTTATGTACTGTAGGATGGGAACATGGAGAAGTTACTCAGACCATAAGAAAAACTTTAAAAATAAAATCATTAGAAGTTTCCAGGGAAACATAAACTGCAGCTAAATACTACTTAAATTACAGGAAACTGCAGCACCAAACATATTAAAATAGAAAGCCATTTAAGAGTCAGCACCAAAACACATTAGAATAGAGAATCATTAAAAAAAAAACTATAGAAACAGATAGCCCAAGAAGAAAAACAAAATAGAGTAATTAAAACATTCCAATATAGTAAAAGGAAAAAAAAGAAATGCAGATACAGGAGGAGACAGGCCACAGTGACAAGGGGGAAGCAAACAGGAAGGTGCTAAAGATCAATCACAAACACAATATCAGCTTTTTGAAACACATGGGACAAATAAAAAATTAAATTATAACACAATTAAACACTGGCAAACACTTCCTTGCCAGCCCTCCAGACAGGAGAATCACAAGGAGCAGAACAGGAATGAAGCCATTAAGCACAGGAATCGCACAAAGCCAGTGAGGCAGAACATAAAGAAGGTTATAAAAGATTGTTCTTTTGATAGTGAAAAAGAAATGAAAAATGTCACATCATAGGTTCATCCGTCAGTCACTCACTCATATTTGTCAAGCAGGAACCATCTTGCATGCAACAAAACCACAAACGGAGCTACAGGAAGCTAGGGGGTTTAGCAAGATGGGTTAGCAAAGTATTTGTAATAATCCAGCTACTTTAACCCAGCAACAGGGGGGCGGGGAGCTGGAAGTCAAAGTAACCAATGAAATGCTGACAAGTTATATTTCTGTAGTTTAGTACTTCTGAAATGTATAAATGTGGTGTCAAATCTATAGGAAGGCATTCAGAGGTGCTTTGGCTAAAATGCTCTGAACATTTGCACAAACAAAACTTATTTTTGGATTCCAAGGTCTGAGTCTTGTAATTTCCTGCAACATTTATGGCGACTCCGCCGGGACTCAGAGTGATATTTCTCTGAGGATGGCACGGACCGACCAGTGCCCAGCCGGGGCCGTCTTGCTGAAGATGATTTATCCGGATGATTTATCTGGAAGGGGCAGACGGCACTGTAGGGGTATCTGGTGGATAACCAACCGATCCAAGAACCTGAATGGAATCAAAAGTAAGTTGCGAAATAATGCCGGCTGGAAAGAAGATGCCTGCAGGCAAGTATAAGTATTGGGGAAGTGCAGACCCACTCATTTTGAGAGTGGAAGAGGGGGCCTGATCACCCCCCTGGGTCCGGGATCGGTGAATCCTAACGAGGCCCAAGAGTATTGTGTGGGTGGTTAAGCCATTGCAGTTCCTGTTGGTGTCCGTTGGAGTGTCCAGCATCGCAGGTCAGTGGCAGTGTCTAAGAAATGGGTGGTGAAGGAAGTGTCCCTTGGACACCTCTTCAGTGTATGCTGAGGAATTTTAAGAAGGGTTTTAGTGGAGATTATGGAAACCCCAAGGCCAATCCAGATGACTTAAAAAAATTCTGTGAAAATGAGTGGCCAATGTTTAATATAGGATGGAAGCCCGAAGGCAGTTTTAATCCAGATATCATTTCAAAAGTCCACCAGATTGTTACTGACCCAGATTATGGTCACCCAGATCAATACCAGTATATTGACCAGTGGCAAGTAGTAGTAAAACAGAATCCTGAATGGCTTCGCAAATGCCAAGTTGAACTCATGAGGGTCTGCGTGGCCAGAATTAATAGAAATCCCAGATCCCAGGTCAAGAAGAATCAGATTAAAACAAAACCTGTCTTGCCCATGTGCTCAGAAGTTTTGGAGAAATATTAGAAATTGGATTTTAAATATAACAAAATTTAAAACTTGAACCTGAAACCTTTCTGCTAAGTATGATAGATTTAAATATGGAGAAAAAATATCAATATTTAATTTTGTACATCATAACTGCGGCCAGAATAACCTACGCACAAAACTGGAAACTGTCTTCCATTCCTTCAGAGGATATGGTAATTTAAAAAATACATGAATGTGCTGAGATGGATAGCCTAACCAAATAGTTAAAAAATAAACAAGATAGTGATTATTATGAAATATGGAACATTTGGTATGAGTGGTTAAAGAAAAAGTAATATTTCATATTTGGATGTTATGGAAATGACAGAAGACGTGCATTTAATCATAAACTATATAGAGAAATTAAAACATTAAAAGGACAAAGGAGTTATTGTAACAAGGCAGATCACGTCAATGATAAAGAAAAAGAAAAACAATTTAACCATTGCTCAATATATGCTGTAAAATGAGTGTGAATCTGCTTTCTACGTGGAAGTGTAGTGGTACCATCTTGTGTGGCCTTCGTGGGTGTGGGTCTGGTGTCATTCTTCATGTTAGGTACTCATTTGTTTGTTTTTTTAATTATTTTTTTTTTATTCACACATGAATAAACGAGATGATACCTCCCGCCTACCAGCCATTTGGAAACCCGCCGTCATTAACAAATGAGTAGAAAGCAGATTCACACCCACACAGATGATGAGACACGACCACGGACCAGAAGCCGTACCGCAGCTGCATCACTACCCGCTTCAAACCCCTCTGACCCATACATGAAGCGAAGAAAGAAGAACAAACTGCACTACTTAACCTGAAAGAAGACACCAGCATAATAATCCTACCAGCAGACAAGGGCAACGCGACAGTGGTTATGAACACATCTGACTACCAAACTACGTTAACCAACCTACTCCAAGACCCCACATACAAACCCCTAAACACAGACCCCACTGCCTACCTAGAAAAAACCACCATATCCAAAATAAAAGCCTCCCCCATCAGTGAAGAAATCCAGCAAAGAATCATACCCAGAGAGAAATCGTCCAGATGCCCTAAGCTTTATGGTCTCCCCAAGACACACAAAGAAGGAACCCCACTTAGACCAATAGTCAGCTCCATAGGCTCACCTCTACAAAACCTAGCCAAATTTCTCGCCAAACAACTGCAGCCCTACGCAGAATCCATCAACTCACATGTAAGAAACTCATTCCAGTTCATTGAGATCATAAAGAAACAAAACTTACAACCCAGGGACCTACTAGTGAGCTTCGATGTCATATCCCTCTTCACCCAAGTGCCAATAAAAGAAGCCTTGACAGCCATCCAAAACAAATACAACCCACCCCAAGCACATCCTAGATCTGACCAACTACTGCCTATCCAATACATACTTCACCTACAACGGACAAACATACAAACAAATAGAAGGAGCACCTATGGGATCACCCCTCTCACCTGTCATCGCAAACCTCTACATGGAACATTTTGAAACACAAGCTCTAGAAAAATATGATCACAAACCCAAACTCTGGCTCAGGTACGTAGATTACACCTTCATAATCTGGTCACACGGGAAAGAAAAACTGAACAACTTCCTCACACACTTCAACAGCCTACACCCCAAAATACAATTCACCATGGAAACAGAAGCTAACAATCAACTTCCCTTCCTAGATGTCTTACTATACAAAAAAATCCAATGGCTCCCTAGGACACACCATCTACCAGAAGAAAACACATACAAACCGCTATCTATATGCACCCGGCACAGATCAATTCTGTAGCCGAGACACTCATCTCTAGAACAAAGTGCTTAGCTGATGAACAACACCTAAAAACCGAACTACACACTCTCACTAACATACTAACAGCCAATGGATTCCAAAGAAAGAAGATTACCCACCTAATCCAAAAAGAAACCCCAACCAAAATCCAAGACAGAGAACAAGAGAACGGCAAAGCCCTCCTCCCATATATAAAAGGCACTACAGACAAAATCAGCAAGATCCTCCAAAAACACAACATTAAAACAGCATTCTGCACAAACAGAAAAATATCCACCATCCTAAGAAACCCTAAAGACAAAATCGAGTTAGAAAACCAAGGAGTATACGAAATCCCTTGCACCGCCTGCCCCACCACATACATCGGACAAACTAACAGAAGAATAAGTGCACGCATTGAAGAACACAAGAACTCAATCAAAAAAGAAGAACCGACCTCTTCCCTGGTCCAACACCTCAAAGCCACAGGACATGAGATTGACTTTAAAAATACCAGAACTATCGCCAAAACCAAACAC